TTTTCTCTTTTCTGGAAGAGCGTGTTTATCGGAGCCAGATCATATGCAGCTGCTACCTGCTAGATGTTGTCTTCTTTATTTAACATGCCACGTCCATATCCATCATGTATCTTTCCGTAACCTTTTCGGTGTTTCCCGGTGTGCCCGTTAAGGTCACCCACGATTATCACTTTCTCGTTTCACGGTATGTTTTGCAGTGCTATACCTAGGGTCTCCAAAAATTTCGAGAGGCGTAGATACTTATCATGTTTAAGATCCGACTTTCTAAAGTCAAATTAACGCCCATAATTCTGTCGTTAATTCGGACACGTTGACTTAACGTGCCATGTCTTTTGTCGATTTATTCAGTGCCACTCCAACTCCATCTCTTCTGATGTTCCACAGTAAAGAAATCTGTTGTCTAGTTCATTCTCTTTCGACTTTTCCTGAATTGAAGCAAATTATTCTTCTTGGAAGAACTTCCCTGGCTCCATGCCCTTTCCAATCGTTATTCCAATCTTCCAAGTGGCTATTCACATTTTCTTGTTTCGTTTTCTGCACGTCAACCTCCCACTTTGCGACTGTCATCGTCACAAGAACTGGTTACTTGCTGATTTCTCACAGCCGCCGGGATTTGCCGCTGCGCTTCGACTCTGTAGAACGTCGTAGAGTTCTTCCTAGAGGTAATTTGACTCATCATATTTGGCTCTTACATTGGCTTTTACAGCTGGTTGCAAACCTGACTCCAACTCATTTTTCTTATCAGGGCTTGGAACATGATACGGCTTTTTGAGGATGACAGTAAGCTTATTTCATTACAACAATGGTTCGCCATGTCGCCGTCCTGTGAATTAGTATATATAAGGCTAATTTGGCCAGTAGCACTGTTATCATATTGTTCCCGATTGCCTATTTTTTGGGTTAAGCGCTTATTTCCCAGCAAATCCTCATATTTGAAGATTTTTCCACTATTAACCCGTGGACGCGCTCGGCGGCATCTGACCTTACCTCGACACAATGTTATGATCGATAAATCTGACGAGGTGGCGAGTTATTATAAATCTGGGAGGAATTCCTGCAGACAACGTCAGGTTGACGATATCAGAAATGAACGAACTTGCACAAGTCCTCAAAGATCAAATTTCAATTCGTAATGTACGGTTCTCTTGCTCCTAGTTGACCAGGGCTGCCGTTTTTGTAGGTCACGGCTACACAGTGCCTCAGCACCTGCAGTGTGAAATGCTTCCTGCATCATTTAGTCTACTGAAGGCGCACCACGTTCATCAGGACTGATGCTTCAGGAGCTGTTACTCCTCATATGCTAGCTCATAAATACCGTAAGTTGTTCATATGGCAGAGTTTGTCAAAAAACGCATAACTCCTCCAAGGCCAGATTTCCAACAAGGATGTTGCCCAATCTCCGGTGAAAGATTGTTTTGGAAGAGTTATGAATTATGACGTATGGACATATTTTGGTGAAAATAAATGGCCAGTGAGTTTGTACTTGTGCTGAGATTGTGGAAGAGCATAAAAATAAAGTGAAAGTGTACGTGACTGCGTGAAACCTCTGAGCACAAGCAGGCACATATGTCAGAGCATTTAATCTGCTTCCCTGCGATACCACGGGACACTGTTTACCGAAGGCACGAAGTGTAACTTACGATAAAACAGCTGCTTAACCAGGTTCAGTGTCGCAGTCGACGTCGCCCGATGTTATCGCACGTTGTCGTAGTGGCGACGGTCAAATCCTCAGTGACAGCTAGTCGCCGCGTTTGACAGTATGTATGCAACGAACCCGCGCTATGAGGTATCATCGACGAGGACTTGAGGGTGCTGCAAATAGGGTCAATGCACTGCGGCCAAAACCGTGACTACTTTGCCTTACCTGTTTGAGAAGCAATGACGTGGGAACGTCTAACGATTACTTTTATGGGGAAGAGTCAAAAAATGAGTGGAATAAAAGACTGATTAATCACCGGCAAAAAATGGAGTAAAACGAGAAAGTCCCCTCGTTTCAAACAGGCGACAAGCATCATTCCTTTTTATCGGGTCATTGACAGACAAGTCTAAAACTACTGTTGGCCAAATGACAAGATACGCATTATTCAAGTTGTTAAGGTCACGGTGCTCAGATATTCCTGGGTTATGACGATTAAGATTTGCGGTAAGGTGAGGAAGCTTTCTCTCTGTTGAAATCTGGTGATGACGCTAATGAGTGGTGTGAAGCGCGTTGTGATGAAAGGATTTTCTCATCGGTGGTGATTTAGTCTTTTATTTTTCCTGAGCCACAAACCAGATGAAATTGATAGAGTATATAACAGTTTTGTTCTTGGACAAGGAATCGACAATAC